AAGTCCTACCTGTTCGACGTGCTTTTGACTTCACTGCCACCCAGGTGAGGAAGGGCCTGCCTGGAGCCACGCAGGAGCCTCTTTCCAGCTTTGCCCCACTTGGGAGGGGCCTTCAGGGGACCCTGCCCTGCACCATCACCTTTCCTCTACCACTTGCTCAAGGATCCACTTTCTGGAGCTTTCCCTAATCATGAAAGTATACATGTCTCTGCATGACTGCACACCTATACACCTGCATGGCATATACCTACCTATGTACCTGCATGGCTGCACACCTGTACAGTTACATCGTGTATACTTACCTGTGTCCTCTGCAGGGACATGCTTGAGTTAGCATTTACATACCACCCTGCACAGGGTGGCACATGGAACGTTCAATGGTTGACCCACATGGGAGCTAGGGGAGGAGAGAGCCAAAGCCCATCTGTTGTGGGGAGGGTGAGGGGAGGGGGTGGGCAGGTGGAGAACAGTCACTGGGAAGCCGACACCCTCCTAGGGACTCTATGTCACCATCTTTAAGATGTTCCCAGGAACAGATGCTCCTCCAGGAGCCAGCTGTGGAGGGAGGTATCTCAGGTGTCCTGAGCTCTTGTGCAAGCTGGTGTCCCCCTGAGGGGTGTAAGCAGAGACATCTCCTCCTCCACTTCCTACCCCCTCTTCTATCTGACATTCCCAGGGAGACAGACAGGGTCTGCCTCCTGCCCCTGACAGGTCTCCTCTTCCCTGCAGGAGATGGTATATCAGGCCACCACCAAGAGCCTCATTGAAGGTGTCATATCAGGCTACAATGCCACTGTCTTTGCCTATGGTCCTACAGGTGAGGGGAAAACCCAGACTGTGTGTGAGGACTGGTATGTCCCTGTTGTCCTACCTTCTTGAGAACCAAGCCCCCCTTCATCCTCCACGGACCAGTTAATCTGGCCCCCGCTGGGGCAGGGGTCAAGGATAGGGCTGATTCAAACCTCACCTAAGGGCCTTCCAGCCCAAGACCCCCATCCCCAGGCAGGGTCATCATCTTCCTGCCCCCTCCACTTCCCTGGCCATCTGGGAGGGCCCAGCCTTTCAGACAGGGTCACCAGACGCCTCTGCCCAGCAAGGCATCATCCCAGGTCCCCACTTTGATCACTACCATCCTGCTCTGCTCAGGCTGTGGGAAAACCTACACCATGCTGGGCACTGACCATGAACCTGGCATCTATGTTCGCACCCTCGACGACCTCTTCCGTGCCATTGAAGAGACCAGCAATGACATGGAATATGAGGTGTCCATGTCCTACCTGGAGGTGAGGCCCCACCACCAGTCTTGGCTAAGAGGTGCATGGGATGGGGCTGGTCCACCTTCCTAGAGCTGATCACAGCAGTTTCCTTGGGTACTCGTCACAGCTGCTCTTTCACACGACAGCCCCACCTTACAAAATCTGAGGCTCAAAGAGGTTAGATGACTTAGAGCAATAACATACAGTAAGCAGGGAGCAGGGATTTGAACTCAGGACCCCATGGCTCGAAAGACAAGACTTATCTCTTATACCACAATCCACAGCAGCCTTGTCAGCAAGCACAGAGCTCCACTGCCCTCCCAGACACTCTGGTGTATCCATTCCTTAAGCAGTTCAATCTACCCTGAAGGCACAGAGGCCCGTGGGCTGACTTCCATCTGGCTTCCTCTGGGAGCTGATAATCTCCTGGGTGACAGCTTAGAAAAGGTAGCGAGGGGAGCTGCCAGCAGCTGCCTGCCAGCAGGTGTTAAATCAGCCAGCAAGCCTTGCCTTGTAGGTGTTGGAAAGGACCCAGGACAAGTAGCCTGATGGTTGCCTAGAAATGAGCAGGGCTCCCTCATCTGACCGGGTGTCCCTGCCCTTGGTCCATGCCCCATGTCTGCAGATCAAGTCCTGCTTGGTTCTGAAGCCTCCTACAGCATTGGCTGTGGGGTCCCATGCTTCCCTGTGGGTGCTGAAGCCCCCAACCTCACCATGGAAAGGCAGAGTGCTTTCCCCAGCAGGCTTCTCTCAGAGGGGACTGGGCACATAAAGCTGGAGCTTCTGGCCCTCTTCTCGTTCAGAAGAATGAGGGACTGGTACTTACCTAAGCCCCCTGCCCTTAGACTCGCTTTCCCCTTCCCTTCCCCACCCATCCTATCAGATCTACAATGAGATGATCCGAGACCTGCTGAACCCCGCCCTGGGGTACCTGGAGCTGAGGGAGGACTCCAAAGGGGTGATTCAGGTGGCCGGAATCACCGAGGTCTCCACCATCAATGCCAAGGAGGCAAGTCTTATGTGACCAGGCCTAGGTTGTAGGGATGACACAGGAGGGAGGGCAAGATGGGGCAGCTGTGTGCCCAGCTGGGTCTGGGGCTGGGATGGACACAGACAGTCCCAAGTGGAAGCAAGAAGGGAATTCACATCTGCCATCATGCCCCAACTTCTCTGCCCTGCACAGTGACCAGGCCACGTAGCCTCTCCGTGTACACAGAGTCCCGAGACTCAGCACACTGAGGCCAGCCCACCCCTGACTCTCAGAGGCAGGACCTCTTCCTCCAGGCCCGGGGCTCTTTCTGCAAGACACCTCTATGGGTCCTCAAAAACCGCCTCCTTCCCTCCCAGATCATGCAGCTGCTAATGAAGGGGAACCGGCAGAGGACCCAGGAGCCCACGGCCGCCAACCAGACATCGTCCCGCTCCCACGCTGTGCTCCAGGTGGCCGTGCGCCAGCGCAGCCGGGTCAAAAATATCCTACAGGACGTGCGGCAGGGCCGACTCTTCCTGATTGACCTGGCTGGCTCTGAGCGCGCCTCCCAGGTGAGGCTGGCTCTGGAGGAAGGGATGTAGGGCTGTCCCCAAGGGAAACAGCAGAGACAATGTCCCCCAGGTGAGGCTGGCTGTGGAGGACAGGATGGAGGGCTGTCCCCATGGGAAACAGAGCAGAGACCCAGGTGAGGCTGGCTCTCAGGGACTGGGAGAGAAGCTATCTGGGTGGGGGCTGCTCCCCAGGGGCTGGGGGGAAGATATTCCAGGGAGGTGGGAGGAGGAGTGGGGCCCTCAGGTGAGGGACTGAGGAATATTCCAGAGGAGGAGATTCTTCAGGCCCAGGCATCCTGAAGAACCAAAGGGGAGGGAAGGGCAAAGAAGACAATGAATGGGCCCAGATGAGAAGTCTCACAGCAGGGAGACAAGCCCGGAGAAGGCCCAGCCAGTCACATCAAGGACAGAGGAAGTTCCCTGTTACCTGTTTCTTGAAGCATCTTTGTCCTCAGCACTTAGCCTGCTAGCCTGGCTCTGTGGCCCTGGGTAGCACCACCCTGCAGATGCAGGCCCGGCCCACCTCAACAGGCAAGCTCAGAGTGCACTGTCACCTGAGTGAGGGCGCTGGGTAACGGCACTGTGTTAGCGCTGGAGCAAATGAAAGGGGGAAGGATTTTGACCAAAGAATGAGCAGGGTTTGTGTTTGAGCATGTGAGATCGGGTTCAAATAGGGAGGAGTTCCAGAAAAGCCCCCAGGCCACCCTGAAGGGGCCATGGTACATAGCCTGGGAGAAAAGAGTGCGCCCTCCAGTGACTGGAGCCAGCTGGTGTCACCAGGAGGGGCAGAGATGGTTCTCCTTGTCCTTGATACCATCCTGCAGGCCAAAAGGAGAGGAACCTGCTTTCCGCACCATGTGTGCACACAAGCTCTTACACGCATACGCACTCAGATATGTGCTCTGGTCCGCCCTACTCACGTACACTCACATGTTCACACGCTGTCCCACACTCCTGTGCACACACGCACACACATGTACCCATTCCCTTACACACTCGCGTCCCTCCTTGCCCTGTGATGCTTTTGGTGCCCTCTGGGACCTGTGGTCACACTGATGGCCTGGGATGCTGACTTGTGGACCACTTGCCCCCTCCCCTGTCCCTCAGGATGCTGGGTGACAAGCCCAGCCACTGCTATGATGCCTCCCTAGGGAACAAAGAGCCAGCCTCGCCCAGTCCTCCTCCCGAGCCCTCAGCCTGTCCCTCTTGTTCACAGGCCTTCCTGTACTCTTACCTTCTCAAAGGCCCACAGGGACCCTTGGGAGGAAGGTGGGATCAGACTGTCTGACATCCTGCTCTCCCTACTTGTTGAGGGCCCTGGGAAGAGGCTGGAGTCTATAACCAGGATCACCAGGTTGTTGGTGGGTGGCTGAAGTGGAGCCCCACCCCTACCCCAGAATGCCACAGTTCTGCCCTCTGCTCAACCCCCAGACACAGAACCGTGGGCAGCGTATGAAGGAAGGAGCCCACATCAACCGCTCCCTGCTGGCCCTGGGCAACTGTATCAACGCTCTGAGCGACAAGGGCAGCAACAAGTATATCAACTATCGTGATAGCAAGCTCACCCGGCTCCTCAAGGTACCAGTGCAGCCAGGCCCCAAGATCAAATAAAGACAAATACAAGGCACCCAGCTCCATTTGAATTTCAGATGGACAAAAAAGTTTGTTTTGTATGAGTCTGTCCCATACAACACTTGGGACATACTTAAACTAAAACCATTCTTTGTTTATGTGAAATCCAGAGGTAACTGAGTGTCCTGTATTTCATCTGGCAGCCCTAACCAGGGAGGGGATGGAGCTGTGCTGAAGCCTCTTGTAGGGCGGTGGGTCTGAGGGAACCAAGAGCCATCTGGATTTGGGGGCTTCAGTGGACAGTCAGTCCCAGGCTGCTGGAGGCCCTCACCCCTGTGCAGGGCTACCCTGGGCCTCAACATGCAGCCACATCACTTTGTGCCCACTCCTGGCTGGGCTCTGGGTCCAGGGCTTTGCCCCATGAGTCTAATCTTGCCTGTGGCTTGGTGAGTTAGGGTGAGCTATGCAGATGAGGAAACTGAGGCACAGAGAAGTTAAGGGATTTTCCAGAGGGTGCATGCTAGTCAGGGCTAAATAGGATTCCAGCAGAGGTCTGTGGTTTTACATAGTATTTCTGTCAGCCTGTCCATCATGACTGACCTACAAGGTGGGAGGGGGGAGAAGGGAGCAGGTGCAAAGTGACTGTCACCTTCCAAGGTGGGGAATCTGAGGATTAGAGGTGAAGCTTTTGGTCTCACAGCTGGTAATGACTGGCCTGGGGTTCCTTCCTCCCCTGCTGTTTATACCCTGTAGTGCTCAGCATGCAAGTCGTGTGTGTGAGTTTGTGAGTGTGTGGATGTGTGTGAGTGAATGTGTGGGTGTGAGAGTGTGAGTGTGAGGGAGTGTGTATGTGTGTGAGTGAATGTGTGAGAGTGTGTGTGTGTGTGTAGAAGGGGGCGTGCAGGGACAGAAGGTGCACAGGGTGGGTGTTGTGAACAGCCCAGCAGAAGGGGCTCTGGGGCAGGCAGTCCCTGGCTGGCCACATCCCTGTCCCCTCTCTCCAGGACTCTCTGGGGGGGAACAGCCGAACTGTGATGATTGCCCACATCAGTCCAGCAAGCACCGCCTTTGAGGAGTCCCGGAACACCCTGACCTATGCTGGCCGGGCCAAGAATATTAAGACGAGGGTGAGGCCCCCTGGACTGCCCCCCCCCCACAGGCACATCCCTCCAGACCAAGATTCTAGCCTCTGGGTTGATCCGTGCCACCCACTGCACCCTCTCCAAAGCCAGCCACCACTGCACTGGCCTTGTTCCTCAGTCCAATGTCACCCCAGCTCTTTCTCTGCACCTCCAGCTCCGCTTATCTACCCAGAAACCCTAGGCTTCCAAGGGCCCACTTCCTCTTCTCACTTCATCTACCTTCCCTTCCTCTTCAGAGGTGCATTCAGACCTCTGCATGTTCACAGCACCTCAGCATATTAGGACCAGGGGTGGCCCTTACTGAGGCCCCACGCTGAGCTCTCTCACGCATTCTCTCATTCCATCTCAAAATCAGGCAGGTGTTAAAACTGCCCCATGATACAGTTTAGGACAGTGAGGCTTAAGGACGCTGAGTGACTGGTCATTGATGGGACAGAGCCTGGAGCCGGCTTCCAAGTCTTGTTCTCAGCTCTCTGGTGAACACTGGGACCCTGCCATCTGTGGGTGTGGCAGGGCCATGGCTAAAGCAAGGTGCCATGCAGCAGTGAACGTCCTTTCCACACCTGCCATGCCCTGGGTGCTTGAAGTTGTAGCTGTCAGAACTCTTAAATAGTTCGTTGATAGTTCAGAATGTTGGTAATAGCTGGTCAATGATACCAGCAGCAGTTGCTGAGTCTGGGAAGGAAGGGGCAAGTAGGAGTGGGCTGTCTGTGTGGACAGAGAGAGAGCTGGATAGTTCCTCGATTGGAGCAGGACATTCATGTGGGGGCAGGGAGTAAAAACAAAATCAGAGATCGTGGTGGGCCTTCAACACCAGGTAAAGAACTAGGGTATTCCCCTCAGGCAGTAGGGAGCCACTGAAGGTTAATGAGCAGAAGTAGCACTTTAGGATTATAATCTAGACGCGTGTAGACATGTCAGGAGGGAGGCTTGGATACCAGGAGGCTATTGCTGTCATCCAGAATGACTGGAAGAGGCAGAGGGGAGAAAGAAAAGAAGCCCCTGCAGGGAGGCCTCAGTAAGTGTATGAGGCAGGCCCAGCTCCTGAGGTGACTGGACCCTTTGCTCTCATCTGTGGTCTCTGCAGGTGAAGCAGAACCTGCTCAACGTCTCCTACCACATCGCCCAGTACACAAGCATCATCGCTGACTTGCGGGGAGAGATCCAGCGACTCAAGTGCAAGATTGACCAACAGGCCGGGCGGGGCCAGGCCCATGGTCGGCTGGAGCCGGGTGACATACGCCACATCCAAGGTGTGTGCGTGGGCCCGTGGGTCTGGTCATGGGAGTCCATCTCTGACAGCCTCTCCCAGCTATCTCAAATTGCACTGGGGACAAGTAGTGCTGACCCTGGGTGGCTCTTCCTGGGCGGGGGGCCTTGGGCTTAGTCACTCAACTTCTCTGAGTCTTCCAGCCTTCCCCTGTGAGGTGGGACCGGGCTCTCTGGGTCAGAGAGTTGGAGATTAGGGGGACCACATGAGTGGGAGTCATCCAACCTTTGGCTGTGTAGGACCTCACACCGGGGGCTGCACATAGGACTGGGACGGGGCGGGGCGGGAGGGAGTGGAGGGACATGGCTGGCACCACCAGAAGGGGTGCCATTCCCTCTGGGACTTGGGTGTTTACCATGATGGGTTTCCAACAAATGCTGATGAAACAGGGATACTTTTGGCTGAAGTCCCGTTCATACTGAGGAGCTGAATCACCTTTGAGCTGCAACGCAAAGCAGCACTGTGGGAGTGGGGTGTGGGAGAAGGAGGTCTTTCTACAGGAAGTGGTTGACCAGGAAGTGGGAGCCATGGTTTGGGAAAAGAAAACAGAGAGAGGGCCCCAGGTGGGCCTGAGCCCACCCCCTCTGACCACCCTCCCACCTCTGTAGCTGAAGTGCAGCTGCACAGCGGGCAGGGCGAGCAGGCTGAGATGGGGCAGCTACGGGAGCAGCTCATCAGTGCCTTCCAAGAGCAGATGGACGTGCGCAGGCGTCTGCTGGAGCTGGAGAACCATGCTATGGAGGTCCAGATCGATACTTCCCGCCACCTGCTCACCATCGCTGGGTATGCACTTCTGCCCCATGACCCTCTGGGTGGGACCCCCAGGCTGGGACAGTGGAGCTGAGAGCCAAGGGCCACACACTGCCCTGCCCTGTGGCCTGAATCCCCTGGCTTTCGTGGGGGGGCTGCGACAGCTGGGAGCACGAGAAGTCCAGGCGGACCCTCAAATGGCGGGAGGAACAAAGGAAGGAATCCTACACCAAGGATGACAGTGAGAAGGATTCAGACACAGGTGATGACCAGCCAGACATCCTGGAGCCACCAGAGGTAGCCACAGCCCGGGAGAGTATTGCTGCCCTAGTGGGTGAACAGAAGAAGCTGCGAAAGGAGAAGGTATCCAGGGTTTGGGGAGGGGCAGGCAGGTGGGTCTGACAGGAGGCAGAGGGTCTGGGAGCTCAGACCACAAATCCTGGATGACTTTGCTAAATTCTTTCACCTCTGTGTTCTTTCCTCATCTATAAAATGGGAGCAGGAGCCAATATAATAATTAGGGGGTCTCGGATTATAGATCTTTACCTATTGTGCTGGGGCTTACCCCAGCACGAGTAGGGGTGCCTCACGGCATCATGAGCCCTGAGGACATCACAGGGCTAGGGTTGAGCAGATATCCACTGGAGCTGGCTCCAGAGGTGGGTGGTGTTCAAGGCAACAAGAAAGTGAACACAGAGGGGCCGCTTCGGAGCAGCCCCTGGTTGCAAGGCCCAAGATACAGCTTTGAAGATTGGCCTTGCCTTGGAGCGCCAGCTGGATGCCCAGAGGCCAGGGGCTGGAGAGGTGAGGCCAGGCTGGGCAGGTGGGCGCTGCCTGGCGCTGATGCCGTGCTCATCGGCAGCTGGCGCTGGAGCAGCGCTGCCGGGAGCTGCGCTCGCGGGGCCGGCGCCTGGAGGAGACGCTGCCGCGGCGCATCGGCTCCGAGGAGCAGCGCGAGGTGCTCAGCCTGCTGTGCCGCGTGCACGAGCTGGAGGTGGAGAACACCGAGATGCAGTCACACGCGCTACTCCGCGACGGCGCGTTGCGCCACCGCCGAGAGGCCGTGCGCCGCCTGGAGCAGCACCGCAGCCTCTGTGATGAGATCATCCAGGGCCAGCGGCAGATCATTGACGGTAGAATCCTCGCCCCGGGTGTCTGAGCCATTCGCGGAGGGTCCGCGGGCCAGCGCTGAGTCCTACCCCTCCTCCAGCAGATTACAACCTGGCTGTCCCCCAGCACCTGGAGGAGCTCTATGAAGTGTATCTGCGGGAGCTGGAGGAGGGCAGCTTGGAACGGGCCGCCATCATGGACCGCGTGGCCTCCAGGGCCCTGCAGGTGGGCGTGTGCGCATGTGCTGAGAGGGACGCCGTCAAGGCAATGCCTGCGCGCGTAGCTGTCATGGGGATCTGACCAAACTGCCTGCCATCATTCCAGGCTTACATTCTTTGTTACCCAGCCCTAAACCTTACCAAGCCTAAGTAAGGTCCCCCATCCTTGGGCATTCCTTTCTGGCACTTGTCCCCACTCAAGGTCCAAGGGTCAGGGTTGGTCATCTAAAATGGCCCCTAGCCAGTTCATTGGTGCACATCTGTAGTCCCAGCACTTGGGAGGCTGAGGCAGAAGGATTACAAGTTTAAGGCCAACTGGACAACTTATTGAGATCTTGTTTTAAATAAATGGATAAATAAATAAATAAATGCCAAGAGAAAATAGCCCCAGTCCATGTCACCCTGTGTACCTTACCTTTGTCATCTTGTGCTATTAACATGGTCCAGGACCAAGTCTTCTGATTGCCCGCCCCTGCTCTCCCCTCCCCAGGACAGTTCTTTGCCCAAAATTACCCCAACAGGAACCACACTGACCCCAGAGTCAGACCTGGAGAGCATAAAAATGCTGAGCTCTGAAGCCCAGCGCCCACAGAACAGCATCTTCCCACCCCTCGGCATGGTGAGGTAAGGCACTTCCTCCAAGCCACTTGTTGTGCCCTGTTCCTGGAATGCCAACCCAGATAAGGGCTCAGTGGGGAGGATGTGGCACAGGTGTGGACCCAGGACTCCTAGGTTCTCACTGTGCTCCCCACGAACCAGCAGCTTCTTCTTGTGGGGGTGGGAGTGGGGCAGGACCTCAGTTCTACCAACCTGGTCAACAACTGCTCCATCCTCCTCTGCCAACCTCAGTGTGTTCAAGGCCAGTTCCCGGGCCTGGCAGACGAAGGGCTCCTCCATGCCCACCCCACCTCTGATCCAGGTCAGCAGCCTAGTGGCCCAGGAGGTGAGCTCTGGGTACCTGCTGGCTCTGCTGCTGGGAGTGAGGGGAGGGGGGACAGGGGCTGGGGGACATCCAGCAGTCGGAGTGGAGTCATTCCAAAATGGTCACCTGAGGCCCCCCTGCCTCTGCTGAGTGGGGCATGTGAGCCCTTCCCAACCCCTTCACCTTTAGGGCCTGGGCAGCCAGATCAACTCTTCTCCGGACAGCAGTGAGAATCTATCAGAGATTCCTTTGTCTTGCAAAGGTGCGTGTGCCCCCATCTGCCTTGCAAGCCCTGGCCTGCTCAGATCACCCCACCCAAAGTCCTTTCCTGCTTTGCTCTATGAAATGTACCCATGCATTGATTGGGTGGGTGACTTCTGTTCTATAGCGACACCAGTACCCCGAGAGAGCTAGCCACCTGCTCAAGGACCCAGAGAGAAATGGGGATGCAATCAGAAATTAGAATGGGGTCACCTGCTAGCAATCATGAGGCCCCGAGTTCAAACCCCAGCACCCCCCCCACACACACACACAAAGAATGGGGTCACCTGGCACTGAAGGTCATGCCCCCTTTCCCACTGAGTAATAACTGTAATAGTGAGTACTAATTGAATCCCTCCCTGGCCCCTGGATAAGGCGGCTAGACCCATTGTCTCAATTAATCCTCACAATAACCCTAAGGGGTTAGTTTTACCAGTTTACAGATGAAAGTAAGACTCAGAGTGTGCCCTACATTTCTTAAAAAGCAAGTGAGGGTGCTAGGAATAAAGGCCAGGCATCCTGGCTCCAGCTCACTTCTGCCATGGCAGAGGAGGCATGTTGGGAAGTGGCCTTGACTCCAGGATGGGCGCTCCTGTGTCCACTATAGAGAGGAAGGAGATCCTGACTGGTACCAAGTGCATCTTGGTGAAGGCTGCCCGTCGGCGCTCCCGGGCCATGGGCACGGAGAGGCGCCACCTGCTGGCACCTGCTACAGAGCGCAGCAGCCTATCCCTGCACTCACTGAGTGAAGCAGATGATACAACGCCACCAGGCCCGTTGGCCTGCAAGAGGCCACCCAGCCCAACACTGCAACATGCTGCCAGTGAGGACAACCTGTCCAGCAGCACGGGCGAGGCCCCATCCCAGAGGATTAGGCATCGAGGTGATGGCCCTGGGCTCTGGCTGTATGGCCAGAAGAAAAACCCAGGCAAAAAGAGGGAGGAGTCACTAGAGGCGAAGAGGAAGAAGCGGAGGTCCCGGTCCTTCGAGGTCACAGGGCAAGGGGTGAGGCACTGGGCAGGGAAAGGTGCTGGACACCTTTTGGGTGGAGGCTTGAGATCCAAGTTGTTCCAGAAGCCCCAGGACACCCCCAGCCCTGCACTACACCCAGAGGCTCCACCCTCCGCAATGCCTGTGTCCCCAGGCTGACAACTCGAGCTTCAGCAGAGCCCTGTAGCCGAGTCCTGCACAGCTCTCAGCCCCAACTCACTGTTCTCCAACCACACAGCTCTCTCACCTCAAGACACACCTCCTGGGACCCCGTCCCTCAGAGGGCATCTCGAACCACAAAAAGCCAGCATGTGGGCACCCAGCTCTTGGGAGCAGGCATCCAGGAAAGGTCACTGTGCCTTTGACCAAAGTCAAACTCTCTCCAAGTCAGAACACAGGTCAGTACCAGCAAGGGGGAGGGGAGGCCTTGGCCAACCCAGGGAGGAGACCAGCCAAGCTGCTCACCCCTCACTGCAAGCATAATTTTCCAGGACTATTCATGGGATTGGGTACTCGAGTGAGTTCAAGGTCTGAGTGATAGGAGAGGGGATGGGAGGCAATACTGATCCTGGCTGTTCCCCTGTTGCAGGCCCCAGGGACCACTCACCCCTTGCTGTTGCCCCCAACCCAGCTGGTGTTTCCCGAAGAGCTGCTCGTGGGACCAACCTGCCCTATGGCTCAAGCACCTGTGGCAAGGATGGACGCTTCCAGCATAACTGAGGGGCCCTGCTGAAACCAGCTATTCTACCCAAAGACTGAATGGGGTGTAGCAGGGAATGGGGGATGGAGGCTGGACAGATGGGGGTCCTGTGAGAGCAGAAGTTTAAAAAGCCATGACTCCTGAGACCCAGAAGCTGTGGGGGTGCCTGCCCAACCCTTCCACACATTCAGTGCCACAGGGAAGACAGATGAATCCAAGACTCATGGCAGAGGTGCTGGGCTTCCTGTTTTCCCAGTCCCAGACAGAACACTTTTGCCAAAACTCTGCACAGACCTGTGTCCCATCTCAGCTTGGCTTTGGGGAAGAGTTGCTGTTACTGGGATGGGGCTCCTGGGCCCACACCTGGGGCAAGTATACCTGGGTAGGTGGAGAAGGGGCTAACAGGTTGGGAGTTGGGGAGGGAATCTAGTTTTGTTACTTAGCAGTGGCCTTTTCACCTTTGTTTTTAACAATAAAGTCCCATTTGGGTTTTGATGGTTGTGTTGGAAACTAGACCTTGTCTAGGGTATCTATGACTAAGATTCACCCAGCTCCCTTCCCTGTCTTCCACCACCCCATCTTCCCTGGCTCATTGGATAGCATAAGCCTACAAACATCCTGGGGGCTGTTTGAGGCATGGCTCAAGTGGTAGAATGCCTGCCTAATAAACAGAGGCCCTGAGTTCACGTTTCCGTACTACCAAAACAAAACAAAACAAAACAAGAAAACATTGAGGGAAATGGTTTTTTTTCTCCAGACCCCAAGACCCTTCCTCAGCTAAGAGCAAGGTCCGGTTTATGCCTCCATCCAGCCTTCACACTTGCCCTAGGCCCCCTCCTAGGAGAGGGAGGTCAAGGACTTCCGGTCAAGGACTACTGCAGAAAGCCTCTGCAACCCAGAAGGGTTGGCTGCCTGCTGGAGGCCAGGGCTCAGAAACTGCCCAGCTCAGCTTCTTAGCTTAAGGTGAGAAACCTGCCAGGAATAAGTTACTAGGTGTCCCAGGATGGCAGGTCCGTCTGGGCTATTTTATGTTATTGCATACACTAATCCATTTGTGGATGGAGGGCAGGCTCTCAGGGAAAAGCTCGGTGAAGAGCAGGGGAACCCTAATCTTGTGGAACTACCTAGGTGGTTTAGGGACTGGTCCAATCATCCCCTCGCTTCTCTGAGCACATATTTGTTCAGGGCCAAGAGTAACTGCTCTCGAACCTCCTGAAACCAGGCATCTGGTCTACCGCGGCTCACAGGGCTTTCACCCCAGACCCAATGCGCCAGCACCTGGTCATCCATGGGCCAGTTTGGTAGTCACTTCTATGCTGCCCTCCTCCTCCCCAGACCTTGGTGCCATCTTGGCCAGGCCTTTATTTCCTAGTTCGGAGGCTACTTGGGGGTCCGGATGAGGGTGTGGTAGACAGGCTTGACAATGAGGTGCAGATGCAGCGCGTTCTCCACTAGGTACTCAGAGTTACGCCGCTGCAGATCGGCGTGCGCCAGGAAGTCACCGGCCTCCTCGCTACTCTGATGGAAGCTGTAGGTGTGGCGGACCAGCAGGCGACCCTGCTGGCGCGCTCCGACCAGCACGGTCTTCTGGAAGCTCACTCCTGCCGCGTCGCCACCGCTGCTGGCCGGCGTGACCACGAGTCGCGGCCGTCCGTCCTCGGGGCGCGCAGCCGGCAGCGCGGTGCCCGCAGCGTCTGCGTAGACCGGCCGCAGGCTGACCGGCAACCAGCGTGGTGAGAAGAGCACGTTCCACGTGATGCGGCGGCCCGCGTCGTGGCCGCTCGGGCCCAGCTGCGTCTGGAAGCTGGTGCTGCGATCGTCGCGGGCTGGGTTGTTGATGACCCACGGGCGCCCCAGGCGGGCGAGAGGTAGTTGCGGGGCAAGAAGGCGCTGCCGTTGACGTCGAAGAACTTGGCGTAGTGCAGCGGCGAGGCGGCGTGGAACTGGTAGGCCTGCAGCAGGAGGTCTGCCACGGCGGGGCCATGGCGCGCCAGGGCGGCCGAGCGCGCCTGCAGCTGGAACAGCTGCGCCGGAGGGATCATGGGGTAGCGGATGGAACGCAGAGCGCGCTCGGCCATGGCGCGGGGCGGCCGCGCGCGGCCCAGCCACGCCTCCAGCGCGTGGAACAGCTCCAGCTCATCCTGCAACACCAGGTCGGAGCGCTGCAGGAGCTGCAGTAGCAGATCAGAGCTCACGGCGCCCCACTCGGTGCTCCCCGCCACCGCCGACAGGTTCCAGGCCAGGAACTGCAGGCAGTTCTCCCGCAGAGCCTCGTCTCCCGTGCTTACCGCGTAGTGGTACCAGCCCACCGCCGGGCCCGCGCCTCCCGCCAGGTGCGCGCGCATGTAGTCGGCCACGCCCCGCTGTAGGGAGGTCACACCATACTTGGTGGCCAGCCTGTGCAGCGGGATGGCCTGGGCCAGCAGCACAGTCAGCTCGCCGCAATACAAGTACCTGCCGAGGAGGGACAGAATTAGGACAATCCCACTCCACCTCCAAGGCTGCTTTCTCTGAACCCAGGAGGCGCCAGCCTTGCAAGGAGAGCTTTGGGGTCTGGGACACAAAAAAGCAGAATGGGCCCTGAGACTTCCCATCTTTTCCCCTTAAGGGCCCTTCCGGGCTGTTCCTATTTTACGACCTCTTCTTTTGGTTAGTGATGGTGATGTGGAAATCGCACACATTTATTAAGCATCTCCTAGGTGCCTAGCTGCAGGCTGGAACAAATGAGACATGGCCCTTGCCACTGTGAAGTTTACAGTCTGGCTTTAGATCCATGTCCTACCAGCTACTTGCCATGAGATAGGGAAAGCTGTTCAACTTCCATGAACCCAAATCTCATCTAGGAAAGGGGAACGGCCCGCCTCGAGGCTATTGTAACAATTCGAGCAGAGTGAAGAATCTTGCTTACCAAGTAGGTGGTCAACACAGGTCACTTCCTGTTCTCCCCACCCTCTTTTCTTCTGTGCAGTCTCACCTTTCTCACTCTTTTTCCTTTCATTGTTAGCCATATTTTACTGTCTCTTGTTTTCTGTCTCACTGCATACAGTGCCCCCCTTGGCTTTATGAGAGCCTGTCTGTTTTGTTCCCCTTCCTGTTGTCTTGAACTTGGAAGTGCTGTCTGGAATTCTGCAGCCATCTTGTCTCCCATCCAAGTACTAACCAGCTAAGCCAACCCTGCTTAGCTTCCAAGATCAGGTGTGTTCAGGGACAGCCATCTTGTCTAAGCCATTAGAACAGTGTTACCTTATATTCTCCTCTGATTACTTCCTCCTACACAGCACACTAGCAGGAGACAGAGAGGTGAGGTGGTCCCAAACCTGGGCAGATACCCAAGTCACAAGGAGGCTTTAAAATAAAAATGATTGATGGTCCCAACCCCTACATCTGAAACCAAGCCCCCAGGGTGTGACCCAGGAATCTGTAGTTTCTACAGGAGTTCCTGGCCAGGTTTGGAAACAGCTTGGAGGGGATTGCCAGGGGCTGGCAGTAACATCATCAAATCACGAAGAGTACACAGGTCAATGCCCCCAAGAGGGCACTGGGAGCCGGGATGAAGGAGGTGATATCCTAATGCCATCAGGAGTGAATGTAAGGACTGCTAGGACTTCTGTGGCCCTTCCAGAGCCAGGACCAGGGAAGGGAAGAAATAGCCCAATTGTCTCCCTGCCCACCTGATGAACTTATCGAAGACAGCAGCACAGTCACGGGGCTCCTCCAGCACCACCTCACTTTGGTTGCTCAGTAGCTCCCGGAAGAGCTCACTGTGCAGGCCCAGCAGCAGGCGGTGGGTGTGGAAGACATGGACCTCATCGGTGCCTGCAGCCTGCACACGCAGCACCACGTCACTGGCATTGCCCTGCCGCAGCAGGTCCTGCAGGCGCTGGAGCAGCATCTGGGAATGGTTGATGGAGGTGCCTGCCACCTCCCCGCCCACATCGGCTCTCTGGGCTGCAACAGGAAGGGACATAGCACAGCCTGAGAAGGCACCCAGGCCCTGGAAGCCTCAATCTTGGGGTACAGGGGAACTGGCTGGAGACACATGTGCATGGGTGTTGGAGAAGGGCAAACAGGCCAGGGAGAAAACTGTGTGTGCACGCCTGTTTGTGCCCATGAGGTGCGTGGGTGTGTGTGTGCCCACAGCACAGCCTGGGTGGGCAGGTTGTGCCCATGTGGACCCTAAAGGATGCCCTTGAAAAGGGGGAGCTTAAATTTCAGGCAGGGGAAAGTTATGGGATGGCTGTGGTCCTCCATGAATTTCCATGATGCCAGATCCCTCCCCCCTCCCAAAAGAGGGCCAAGGAAATGCTGGATCTCCACCCCTCTCACCTCTGAACAACGGTACACCCAACCCCTCAGAGGAGTGGTTAGAAATGGCACCTTCCAAACAAACATATACTGAGCACTTACTATGTGCCAGACATTCATCCTGAGAGCTTGGAATATGGTAGCGAACAAAATAAGCCAAGTCCTTACTCTCATGAAAACACAGATGAGCAAAGTAAGCAGGTGGCACATGCACAAACGAACACTCCAGCTCTAAAGGAGCCAGCCAGGGAACCGGGGCATGTGGAAGCAGAGGAACCAGCTCCTCAAAGGCCCTCAGTGGGGAAGGGCTGTGGTGCTGGGAGTGGAGTCAGGGTTAAAGAGGAAGCTGAAGTGGGAAGAGAGGGTTGAGCAGGAGTGAGCAAGGCAGCAGGCATGAAAGGGAAGCGGTTTCCCTGCCCTCTTGGGTTCCCCATCTGTGAGACAGATAGGCAGAGAACGTCCCAAGGACCAGCTGGTGCTGGAGTGAGGCCTTCTGGGTAACCAAGTGTTGAGATTCATTCCCCTCCCCCAACCCTGTCCCCCACCAGGCTGGCCAGGCGGGCCATGGTGGACAGATGAGGATGTGCACTCAGTTGCAGAAAACCCAGTTACAGAAAATGCACTGGCAGTGTCCTCCCACCTAGAGCGGTGAGAGTAGCCTGGCACAGGGAGCAAGGACGGTGTGTCTGACAGCTGCAGAAGGGCACGGGCCGCGCGCTTCGTATAGGTATGTGCGGACGCATGCGTGCACAGGCAGGGGGCATGGGGACTGGTGGAGGGAAGGTACACAGGAGGAGCATCTGTGTGTGAGACAGGGAGACCCAGGGAGAAGGGGAAGGACAGAGGCCTGGTGTGAATTTCCCAGCCCCGCCTCCCCAGCTGTCACTTTGAAAGACCTGAATGCAGATGGCGTCCCCGTTCGGCTTCTGCCCGGGCCCAGCTGCCTCAGACAATGGACAATGGAGGTTCTTCTCGCCGTTGAGACCAATGCCTGCTAGCCAGCCCCTTCTCCTCTCAGAGGCAACCTGTCCTCCTCCCTTCTGGGAGATGAAGTCCATAGAGCAGTGGGAGCAACGCGGCCCTTTCCAGGGTACTCTCCCAGGTCGGCTGCACAGCGCCCTCTCCTGGCTAGTCACATGCAGCTCAGGATGGAAGGTCCTGCCCCCTGTCCCCTGCCCCGCACCTCTGCCCTGTCATTGCCCACTCACCTGCACGAGTCGCCAGGCCCACCAAGGTCAGGATGGACCAGAAGATGCCCCAGAACCCAGGCTTGCAGTAGCCGATCCTAAGCATTCTTGTGTTCTGTCCCCAAGTCCACTAGAGGGACTGTGAAGCCCAAAACACTCCGATACCATCCCTCCTCCTTATATAGGATCCTGCACAGGGGACAGCACCCCCCTTTCTGCCTAGCCTCCCTCCCCCACCCAGCCTCCGCCATGGATTGGTTGAAACTGGCCCCTGCTGTTGCCTAGGCAACCACTTAAGCCAGAGAGTGGCAGCCCCAGGGGCTATTGTGCTGCCCTGGGCCCCCAAGGGGAACAGATCCGGCACCCTCCTCCCCCACCTCTCCTTAAGATCCAGCAAGGCTAGCTCTTCCTCTCTTGGGAAGCTTTAGGCTTTCTTAAGGGCAAGCAAAGTTCTCCATGACCACTGGCAGCCACCAGCCCCAGGGTCCCCAACCCCTCCCCCAGCCCCCAGGCCCAGCCTCCGCCCTGGCACCGAGCACACTTGGCAGTGCCATGGTGAGCCAGCGCAAAGGAAGGGCCTGGAAGAAGCAAGGAAGAGTCGGCTCAGGCTCCCACCCCTCCCCCCACTCCCATTTTGGGGTGGGCCAGCTATCCTTTGGGCAAGGATCTCAAATAGGGATTCATGGGGTAACTGGGATTTTTTTTTCATGTTCTTTGTTGAAGAAATTTCCTGGTGTGCTCAGGAGAGGTCTTCAGGAAAGATCCACAGGGACTATGACTATCCCCCCCACCAGGGTCAAGGTGATCCCAGAACAGGACTGGACAGCTGGCCCTTACCCTTAGTAGGCAGCCTGTCCCCCTGCCCTGCCAGCCTGGGCACAAGGACTTGAGCCTCTGAGGCTAGGTTCCTGTCTGCAGCCTCTATGCTTCTTTAATTTGGCTCCCAACTTAGCCCCAGGTCTTGAACGTCCTCCCCTTGGAAGGTTTCTTTCACCATTTCTCTTCCCAAAATCCGAGGAGACTTGCTCCAAACTTGGCACCCCAGTCCATACATAGGGAGACTGAGGCAGAGAGCTAGGTTACCACCTCGGTTGGGCGGTGCAGAGGAGGACTCTGAAATGTGTCCCAGCAACAGAGAGAAATGGGTGAGGACTAGAGCACTGTAAATGCTCTGTGAGTTGGCATAGGTGTGGTGCTGTCCAGGCCTCACCTTTATACAGAGTGAGCAGGTTTTGCCCCAACTCCTTGTGGGAGAGTCCCTTGGGGCTGATGAAGTGGGTTGACCCCCCCCCAGGAGATCTGAGTTTTTCTGAGGCCAGGTCCTGGATTGAGGATGGGTTGGCTCTTCCCCACCCTTGACCTCTGGATCCCAAGCCCAGTTGATACATTGATTTTTGCCCCTCCCTGGAGTACAGAGACCCAACAGCTCTGCCCCCTCACTGGAGCCACAGAGAGAGAGAGCAAGAATTGGGTCTGGCACCAGCCTCATCCGGGCTGGCAGAGACGGAGATGTCAAGCTTAGCGGAAACGCCTCCCTGCTGACCCAACTCTCATGCCTGGTCCCCCTCATCTGGATCCACCAATCTCTTGCATACTGGCTGCCCGCCTGCCCTCCTGTGGGCTGCACCATGTCCTGGCTCAACCCAGCAAATCAGAGCCTTCATGCAACAGAGCCTAGGGGCATGTGACAGGGCCCCTGGGGGCATCCTAGCATTCACTGATAGGAACATTATTCATCAGAGAACCCAAACTCAGAAGACTGTCATTTGATAGACACACTTCTGCACTCCATTCTCCTCCAGGACTGCACCAGTCTCTCTTGAAGCCTGACCCACCTGCACTTCAATCTTCCATGCTTCACCTAGGACCAGAATTCCCAAGGGTGGGTCTCAGCACTCCCAGATGATTGTTGTGGACACCCCAAGCTAAGATCTACCTATGAGAGTTAGATGGATGGTGCTTCAAGTGTGAAAGGGGTTTGGAGGTCTCTGGATTGCCTCTGACTCCCCAGCTCTGACAGGCCCCCCCTCCCACTATTTCTAACCCTCATTTCTCCCTGACCCTCCTATACTGATGTAGAACCCAGCTTTCCAGAGAGAGTGTCTCTATTGTCCTTTTCTTAGTCTGAGGGTTGCTGCAATATTTTTATGTCTACGAGCATGGCTATGTGTGGTGTGTGTGCATTTATGTGTTATGTGGTCAGGGGTGTCTTGAGGCAGGAGAGAGGTCGCAGAACGTTCACCCTGCACGGTCTGAAGTGACATCTCCACAGCCTAATGTGGTCTGGATCATCCATTATTCCATGAGAGCAAGTCTGGAGAACTCACAAGCAAGAACGGTTCCCTGGCCTGGTGCTTTTGGCTCACACCTGTAATCCTAGCTACTCAGGAGGCAGAGATCAGGAGGATCACAGTTTGTAAGCCAGCCTGGGCAAATAGTTTTCAAGACTCTATCTCAACAATGCCCAACACACAGAAAAAAGGGTGGCAGAATGACTCAAGTGGTAGAGTGCCTGGCAAATGTGAGGCCCTGAGTTCAAGCCCCAGTACCATCAAAAAAAAAAGAATGATTCCCCCCAACCAGGTCATGCCACCTAAGAGGAGCATGACTTCTTGCCCAAAGAAGTGTGTCTAACCTAAGTGACTTGTCTGAATCGGCAGGAGGTTTTAGAGTCAGGATTCAAGTCTCAAAGAGGTCTGCTTGGCTGAGTGTGGTGGTGCACACCTGTGATCCCAGCACTCAGAAGATACAGGCAGAATTCTGAGTTCCAGCCAGGCTCACACTGGTAATCCTAGCTACTCAGGAGGCAGAGATCAGGAGGATCTCGGCTGGAAGTCAACCCTGGGGCAAATAGTTCGTGAGACCCCATCTCAAAAAACCCTTAATGGAAAAAAAAAAAAAATAGGGCTGGTGGAGTGACTCAAGGTGACTGCCCTGAGTTCCAGGCCAGCCTGGGCTATACAGTGAGACTCTGTCTCAAAAAAACAAAAATGAGTTCTGCTTAACTTTGCTTCCCACAACCCTGTGCTGACTTTTCTGGGAACCTATTTCAGTCCCAATAAACTACTTCTACTGGGCAAGGTATCTCATGGACAGTAGATGCAACTGGAAACTCCCACAAGTTTGGAGCAGAAGGAGGGCACAAGACAGGATGGGCCCCAGATCCAGTCCTGCCACACACAATCCAGCAGCTTCATTATGTCTGTAATGTCTCCTGCTCTGAGTTACTTTCCATGACTGATTCAGACCCTATGTTAGGGAGGAAGGACTCATGAATTTAGGTTCCAGCCCAATGTATCCGTGGAGGGGTGGGCACGCCAAAGATAAATAAGGAAGACACGTTTCCTGAAATTACCATATGCTTTCAGAAGCTCACAGCAACTTTCCTGTTCAGCACACTTGATCATGCTGTTCCCTTACTGGAGTGCCCTTCCCTGACTGAGTGCACACCCCATCTTCTCCGTGGAACCTGAAGCCTGAGCATACAGCAGCCTCTCCCTTCCCAAGAACACTATGTGAAGGACTGGAAATTGGACAGCTGTGGTAGGGAAGGGGGAAAAACAAACCCAAGTTCAAATTCCAGCTACCACAAACTAGTTCTGTGACTCTACCCATTTGCTTAACTTCTCTGAGTCTTGGTCTCCTCTTATGTAAATCAAGGTAACAAGCTGGCTTGTGAGGCTGCCAGGAGGATGAAGAGCTTCTGCCCAGGTAGACAGACCAGGCTAGACTGGCCAGGCTAAAACACTGGAAACCACCAAGGTCAAGGTGTGCAGCTGTTTGTTGATAACATCTTTTGCTTCACCCATCTTCAAAAGGCTCACAGGTCTGCCTGTTGGTCAGAGTCCCTTCCTCCATGGGCTACCAGTCCACCCTAGCCACCAACACAGGTACCACACAGGAAAGAATCCCCCACCAAGAAGGGGTCCCTCTCCACTGAGCAGGCTACCTATGTGCCTAACAATGACTTGATAGCCCCATCCCTGCCACCATCTGGCTCGTTCAGAGGCTGCCACTACCCTGTCCACTGTGTGGCAGTGCTGGGTGTCCACTCATCTGTGGGTCCTGCAGACTCCAGTCTTTGCATAGAAGTGCATTGTGTTGCTCATGGAATGCAAAGGATCCTAGTTTCCACAGATCCATGCAGGATAGCCATGCCGAACTGGCTTCAAGGCACTTTCCAAGGAAGACAAACTGATCATGTCTCTCCACAGAAAGCACAGAAGTTCTTGTCTGTCCACGCCAGGCTGCTGGGAAGCAGCACCTCTGAAGGAGACCCTCGGAGAATCCTGGCAGGTTTTGGCATGTGAACTTGGCCATCTCCCAGAACAGGTCTTCCTTAGAACCCACTGAAGAAGGTGAGGCCTGAGCTATGGGGCTGGCTGAAGGCACACACGAGGAGGGGACCTTTTGGCAAATGTAGTATCCCCTCCTCCATCCTGCCCTCCCCTATCCCTGATCCCAAAGACTCCAGATGTCTGTGTAAGTCAGAGTCTTTATTGCAGATGTTGCATTCTGTCTGAGAAGTATTTAAGCTTGCTAATAAAATTCACATTACACATAAAAAAATGTGTAAGGAATGGTAAGCCCTTCTTGCCTCTCCGACAACGTGAAAGAGCCAAGCCTCTAACTCACTTCTCATGGTGCAGAGAGGAGGCAGCCTGGGGAATTGTCTGTGCTGCTCACTTTCTAGGGCTGGAGTCCCAACCCTGGGTACCTATCCTGAGCCAGGTTGTACCTGCTCTGGTCCCACTGTGCTGCCCAAGCATGTTGGACTCTCAGAGGCCACCAGGGGGCAGAACAGCATTGGATGTAAGCATCAGGGTGGGAGTTGGGGTCAGGGTAAATGGGTTCCAGCTCCAGACACATGGGACTTAACTTGGGAAGCCAGGAAATGCCCCACACTCCCTACTACACTTTCTGATACTTTTCCAGAGGCTGAGACTCAACTGCCTCCCAGGTAGTACCTGGGGTGTCTGGTCCCTCTTCCCCAGGGGTGAAGGCAGCTGCTAGGCACAGAGTCCAGCTTCTGCAGGGTACTGGCAGCACCGGCTGGTGTTTATTTGCCAGGAACAGATATTCTTGAGGCTGCTCCATTTCACCAGGGCCGGGAAAACAACAGCCCTCCCATGGGGAGGCCATGGGGTCCTGGTTTCCCAGCGCTGCTGTCAGCTTGGCCTCCCAGGGGCTGCACCCACCACTACACATGGCCTTCTGCTCTCCTCAGCCAGTGGCCTTCTGGGGTGGCCTCAAGCTGGTCCCACCTCCTTCGGTTTGTGCAGCTCTGCCCCTCTCTCTCCCACGCTCCCCCAGCTCCCTAGTAGAAGTGTCTTCCCTTCCCACCATCGAGGGCCTTTCAGAGTGTGAAACTCACAGAATCGATCCCTGAATCCTTCTGTCTTCCCCAAAGTCTTCACCCCCATGCGAGGCCAATCCTGGGTGAGATGCCAGTCTACAGTGTGTCTTGGAGCTGGAGGAAGCCTGTCCAGAGCCAGACCCTGCTTTCCTGCCACTTCACTCACTTTCCCTTCTCTATGTCATGAACAGACCTCTTACCCTGGCCTGGCCCTAGTCTTTCTGTCCTGAGCCCTGTCCTCTCCCAGCCAACCCCCTCCCCTGTCTGTGCACTGTGTGAGACCCTGCTTTGCTCTCAGTGGGATGGGCTACAGCTTGATTTGCCCCTCCCTCTTCTTCCTCCTCCTTCCCCCCCCCCACTCCCACTCTCCACACAACAGGCTCAGTGCTGCTGGAATAATTGTGGGGCAAACATTGACTCCAAGCCGGGGTGAGGGGCACAGCTGGTGATGCTGGGAGGGAGCTGTGGACACCCCAAGAAAAGTCACTTGTGACCTGGGGCACAGAACCCAGGAACATGGGGCTTGAGGGACCAGAGACAGGTAAATATCTTGAAATGGGGAGGAGGGCAGGAAGGAACAAGAGACAGGTGAGGGACCCAGAGATGGGTGGGGGAGGTTGAAGCTAAGAATGAGGGCAGTGAGATGGGGGAATTAGGTTTAGGCAAGGCTAGGGGTCCCCCATCTTCAGCAGGAAAACAGAAGCTGGAAGTTAAAACTATAGTATAGTTTGAGGGGTCTAGGGACCAGAGCAGGTGGAGGGTCCTCGTCCCAGATCAGTTACCTTACCTTTGGGACTTAGTTTTCCCATCAGAAAACCAGGGCCATTCCAACTTCAGTAGTGCTCACCTGTGGAGAGGGAAGTTCTGGTTTAGGAAGGAGGAGAGCCTGCTCACAGAGTAGCCTCAGAGAGCCACTCTCAGAGAGCCACTCTCAGAGAGCCTGAGAGTGGGTGGCTGCTGAGGGGAGCTGAGCAGCTGCTGGGAGCTGTCACCGGTCAGTCACCCAGCACGCTTGTTAAAGGCACAACCACTCAAGCCCCTGTGTGTCCACAAGGATGAAGATCTGTGGAAGGCCGAGGACTTCATCCCAGGGATGGGAAGGTGGGATGGGCTAGGGATCGGATTTCCATGGCAATAGAAATTGCACTTGGCTGGATGTGTCCTGGGGTTTGCACAGAGCAGCTGCTTCTAACCCCGTCCTTTCAAACTTCCTAGCTGGACAGCCACAAGTGACCCTGCTGCCCACACCCAATGGAAGTGAGCCAGGCCAGATGATCCCAGAGAGGTCACCCTGTGTGGCTGGTATCATTCCTGTCATCTACTACAGTGTCCTGCTGAGCCTGGGGCTACCTGGTGAGTAGGAAGCTGGGGTCTGGGATCTTAGACTTGGCCAAAAAACAGGGTCCTCTTTCAATGGGTCCCTGTCCTTCTGTGCTGTCCCCAGAGGTGGAGAACTGTAGACCTCAGGACTCTCCTTGCCTTTATGGGGGTATGATGGGTCACTAGGGAGCAAAGTGGAGAGGGGAGTAAATGTAAGGGGTTAGGGTTTGGGGTGCTCGAAACTAAGCCCAAGGTTTCATCAGAGCAGATAGCCCCCTTCCTCTGCAGTGAACTCTCAGAATGACTGAGCTCACTCTATCCAGAACTCCCTGAGCAGCCCACTGCCTTCCAAGAGCAGAGTTTGGCGGTCAGGGGTAATGCATGGATATAAGAAAAGCCTGTGCTCCAGAGAATACAGAATACCCAAAAAGGACCTAGATGGGAATGCTGCAGTAGGTGGATACCCTGCTATGTGAGCCCACCTATGGGTTGCCAAGGTGGTCCAGGGCCTGGGGCATGGATGGACAGGGCAGGGCTGACCTGGTTAGCCTGTGAAGCAAAGTGAGGTTTTTTTTGTTTTGGTTTTGTAATGCTGGGAATGGAACCCAGCACCTCAGACATGCTGGCAAGTGTTCTACCACTGAACTACAGCTCCAAACCTGTAGTGGGTTTTTTTGTTTGTTTGTTTTCTTGTAGTACTGGAGCTTAAACTCAGGGCCTCACATTTGCTTGCCACTACCTAGTGGTAGAGTGGCTCTACCACTTGAGCCACTCTGCCAGTGTTGGGTCTTTGAGAAAGAATCTCTCGAACTATTTGCCTAGGGGTGGCTTTGAACTGTTAATCTCCTGATCTGTGCCTCCTGAGTAGCTAGAATCTCAGGTGTAAGCCACTGGCAGCCAGCTCATAGTAGGTTTTAAGAAGGATCTAGAAAGAGAAGCCAGCATTGCCCTCAGCAGTGGGGAGGGATGATGAAAACACCTTGGGGAGTAGGATCTGAGGATTACTTTTAATGCCTCTGACCTCTCCCCCCTGTGACCTGGGTTGCCATCAGTCAACCTCCTGACTACAGTGGCCCTGGCCCGCCTTGCCTCCAGAACCAGAAAGCCCTCCTACTACTACCTTCTGGCACTCACAGCCTCGGACATCGTCACACAGGTGGTCATCGTCTTCGTGGGCTTCCTCCTGCAGGGAGCCGTGATGGCCCGCCAGGTCCCCCGGGCTGTGGTGCGTACAGCCAACATTCTGGAGTTTGCCTCCAACCATGCTTCAGTCTGGATTGCTGTCCTGCTCACAGTTGACCGCTACAATGCCTTGTGCAAGCCCCTACGCCACAGGGCCACTGCATCCCCAGGGCGGACCTACCGGTCCCTTGCTGCTGTCCTCAGTGCTGCCCTGCTGACTAGCATTCCCTTCTACTGGTGGCTGGACGTGTGGAGGGATGAAGACTCCCCCAGCCTGGTGGACAAATTCCTCAAGTGGGCCCACTGCCTTCTTGTCTACTTCATCCCTTGTGGTGTTTTCCTGGTCACCAACTCAGCCATTATTCTCCGACTACGAAAGAGAGGTCAGAGTCAGGTACGGCCCTGGGCAAGCAAGAGCACAGCCATTCTCCTGGGGGTCACATCGCTCTTCACCCTCCTTTGGGCCCCCCGGATCTTTGTTATGCTGTACCACTTGTATGTGGCCCCAGTCCACCGGGACTGGAGGGTCCACCTGGCCTTGGATGTGGCCAACATGGTGGCCATGCTGAACACAGCAGTCAACTTTGGCCTTTACTGCTTTGTCAGCAAGACTTTCCGGGCCACTGTCCGGCAGGTCATCCACGATGCCCACCTGCCCTGCACTCTGGGGTCACGGCCAGAGGGCATGGTGATGGAGCCTGTGCTAAAGCCTGCAGGATTCCCCAAAGGAGCAGGATTATAGAGGAGGGGGCCCAGACAGGGAGCCTGGGGGGCTCAGGGCCACTTGTACAGGACCTTTATGGTTGTACCCAACAAAATTTCAACATGCAAGTTCATAACTAGGGGGAGGGAGAGGCTCCCCTTTTGGGGGTGGCTCCCAGGTAGAGAACAACTTAGCCAGCTCTTGGGTTAGCTTCACCCCAATTTCCATTCCTTGGAGAAATTATACAGCTTTGCAAACACAGGCTGACCACATAGCTATGGGGACACTCATACAAAGGACATTTCATGGAGCACGTGATGAATGTTAATGCTGAATGAGTGGATGATGGATGGATGAGCAGATGGACGGGTGGATGTGAACCACCTCCAGCCTAGCCCCTTTGGTAGACCTGCCTCTCATACCTGATTTCATGGCCTCTCTGGCTTCCCGTGGCAATGCCAGGGCTGAAAAGGAAAATGTTCCCAGGATTTGAGGCCTTTCCTGGGCTTGGGGAGCCACTGTGTTTCACTGAGCAGTGGGAGGTGACTACTTGGGGACAGAAATCCCTAGAGCATGTGGCAAAGGGGTGTCTTAAAGCAGATTGGATGCCTCCAGCCTGTCTCAGCCATCCCAGGGTACACACAAACCCCTTGGTCTCAAACATCCCGGTCTGATTCTGCATTACCCTCTGCTCTGCAGCCAGAACAGGTCCAGGGACCCAGAATGGTCTTGGGGCTGCAGTTTTTGTTGTGTTGAGGAGAAAGGGGTGGAGTCCAGGAGCACTAAGAGGGTGGAGTTGTCTGAGGGCCACCCCTGAGCTCTGCTGTGCCCTCCAAGCCCACTCCCCTTGGAAGAAGGTATTCTCTAGCGCCATGAGAGGAAAGGAGGCTGATGAGGCTGGAGGGGCTCTGCATGGCTCCTCCCTGCTCTCTCAGGATGGGGTGGAGGGGATACTCTGCAAAGGTGGCTGGGAGAGCTTAGCAAATGGAACTCCCACCTGGTCCAGGCCTTGGGTAAACACATTAACTTTCCAGCTGGGGCCCCTTTCTGCTTCCCAGTCAAGCCGGGCTGACCTTTCCCCTGAAGGAGAGGTTCAGCCCAGCCCCCACAACCACCCAAGTGGTTGACATAGGCAAAAGAGCAAATGCACACCAGGCACACATTGGTGCAGGATAAATGCTTGGCTTTCCCTCTTTCCTCTCTACTTCTCTCAGGAGCAGGAATGTCTAGAACAAGGGTTTCAACCACGCCCAGAAAGATAACCACAGGTCCCCAGTTTCCTAGTCCTTATTCTCCACTCCAAAAAGCTATGAAAACCAAAACTCTAGTCCCAAGTATGTCACAAATAGAGGTAGTGGCACCCTGACCTGAGCTGGTAAGAGGTGACTCTAGTCTTGATGGTGTCCCAATGAGTGAATATCCGTGAACATCCGAGGACTGCTCTAGACTGGTGAGCAGGGCTGGGGCGGGGAGAGGGGGAGGATGGGTAAAGGGTGATGGTGTGTTGTAACTACCCTTTCCAGAGTAGGTCGGGTGCATAGTGCAGGCCACATGATACCTTCCTCTGCCCTGAAATACGTGAGTCCCGAGACACACAAGGTACCAAGTGCCAGGGGACAGATGGGGACCTGCTGCCAGGGATCTGGGCTGCCCTGTGGGCGCTGAGTATGGGAATTCTCCATGAGCATGTGCAGATGTGTGCAGGGGCGAGGCAGGGTGGGTGAGCTGGAGCTCTAGTACCTGCTTAGGGTGGAAGGGATGCAAGTGTAGGCAGTCAGGGAGAAGGAGCCCCGGAGGAGGAGCCCCAGAGGAGTGGGTGGTGCCTGCCCCCAGCACAGCACAGTCTGCTGGGCTTGCAGGGGGCCAAGTCTGCCCACAGGCCGAGGCCCTGGGAAGGAAGCAAAAGGTGCCTTTGATGCAGATCCAAATGGAACACCAGGGAAGAGGTCTTCATCCTTCTCTATGAGCAACCTGAGGGACCCTGCAGTACACCTGCACGACAATGCCCAGATCAGGGAGAAGTGTCTGCATGGACAGCCACCGGCAGCTGAGGCAAGACCACCGGGCCAGGCCTCCATAGGCGGTCTTTGCCCAGTGGCTGGTGGGCCGTCCTGGGGAAAGCACAGCTCACCTGTCCCTGAGCACTGGGGAAACCAGGAACTTCCAGAAACAGTTGGGAAAGCACTTTTGAGGAGGCCTGTAAGACTTTTATGCAGGTGGAAACTTTGAGCCACCAGAGCTCTGGTATTAATACTAAGGTGACCTCACTTGTAACCACAGGCTTGGATGACATCAATGTTCTCAATCAGCCTGTGTGCCAAGCATAGGGAGGTTAAACGACAGCCATAGCCTCAAAGCTAGTCAAAAGCAATACTGAGTCAGGACCCCATGGCTCATTACTGTTACTTGGAGGCTGAGATCAGGAGGCTCGTGATTTGAGGCCAGCCCAGGCAAATAGTTCACAAGACCCCATCTCCAAAGAAAAAACAGCAAAAAAGAGCTGGAGGTGTAGCTCAACCTGCCTAGCATGTGTGAAGCCCTGAGTTCAAACCCCAGTGCTACAAAATAATAAAATTTTACTTGGCTTATGGTCTGGAGTCTGGGAAGTTCCAAAACATGGTACCAGCAGCCCATGCAGAGACAGAGCAAGTATGCCACATCAGGGCTCTCTTTCTCTTCTATAAAAGCCACCAATGACACCATGGGAGCCCCATCCTGATGACCTCTCCTAACCCTGATCACCTCCCAAAGGCCCCGCCTCCCAATGTTAATACCATTAACATGGGACTTTGGGGACGGTTTTCAACACATGAACTTTTGGGGGATACATTCAATCCATCAAACGACCCCCCCAAAATGGTACAGGCTGGTTAGCTAAAAGGAACCCACAGCTGTCTCATAGGCGCTCAACTCTGCAGACAGGTTGTCTCCTGTTCCTGAAGAGGTGACAAGGATCCCTCTTTTCTCAGACCAAAGGAATGGCCCCACTGATGGCAGGCTGGGGTGGGGGTGGGAGTGTGAAGAGGACAGGGGAATGGGCTTCTAAAGAGATCTTTCAGAGTTTGTTCTGTACCCCAGCCCAGGGGAGGGGTCCCCCATTGGGCAAGGCTACACTTTCTGAATTAAACATTGAGGCCCAGCATGTCTAGGGTACAGACAAGCTGTCAGGAACCACTGGACAGTCTGACATGGGAATGTCTTGGAAATCCTGCCACCTTGTCCACGATGAAGCCTGAGCTCCTTAGCAGGTCTTGTTGCCTAACTCCGCAGTGGGCTCAGACAGCAGGGGGAGCTGCAGGACTGGCTGACTGGGCGATCAGGACTGGGATGGAAGATTTGAAGGAAGACCAAAGTTACTGCAAAGAAACCCCGCCTGCTCAGGGCCCACAGTCCGTGGAGAATCATGGGATGGGAGGGCTCCACTATGCCCCTTGTCAGCACCTCCACCGTGAAGCCTTGTCTGCCAACTCTGTCCTGCAGTTTTCTCACAGCACTCTGGTGGTTTCCTGTGGGTGACACTGTGTACTGGGCCCCTTCATCACCCACTTCCCTCTTCCATGGTCAGAGGCCAGCCAGTCCCCCAAGCCCCACCCTGGCCTCAGCTCCAGCTGGCTGTCCTCCCCACGATGGGGAACTTGACCTTCCTGGGTCAGTAAGTGTCTCTGGGGTCCTATTTGCCCCACCCCAATTCAGTTCTACCAGAAGTGCTGCCCTCCCCACCCCCTAGCCAGTGGCTCCTGTCCCTGGTAACCACTTGGGCATCCAAGGCAGTTTGAGCCTTGGCTGTGGCTCCATCAACAGGATGGAGGGAAAGAAGCCAAGCAGGTGAGGGGGGATGGAGCTACCAAACCTCAGTGAGTCATGAGCAGAAGTGGACAGGAGACCCAGGCGGCTCCATCCCACACCCACCGTCATGACTCTGGAGATGCCCCCGAGCCACTGACCAGAACATCCCCCTCCCTTAGAGCAGGATGGAAAGTCCTTTGCTTTCAGCCACACTCTACTCAGTCCTCCACAATCTGCACTTTCATCCCTAGCTAGTGGGGCTGCTGAGCCCCCTTGCAGCCCCTTGGGTGGACAAGTATGCAAGGCAGTCCCAAGCGGAGTGGGCTGTGCAGGGAAGAAGGGAAGGGGATCCAGTGCCCTGGCTGTGGCTCACCCACCCCTCCAGCGGAGGCTTTCAGCCGCCATTGGAGGAGCCTGGAAAGGGGACCCTCCCCAGGGAGAAGGTGAGTCGCCTGTCTGCCTCCCTCACTTCTCTTGGAAGGAGAACTGAGGAGTTCTTCAGCTCTTTCTGGAGAAAGTGGGTTAGGGCCTGACTGCCAGAGGAGTGCAATGAGCTTTGAGCCACTGAGCCCCACCTGCCCTCCTTTGACTCAGTTTCCTCCCTCTGGTCTATTGGGGTGGGATGGAATAGGAGCAGTGAGGCAGTGTGTCTCCTTCCTGCATCCCTCCCTCAACCCTAAGACCCAATCCTCCTGGCCTGGTGTGAGGGGAGCCAGGTCCACTATCCCACCATCTGGGACTGGGGAGGGGCTCCTTGAGTGTGGCTTTGGGGCCCTTCCAGCCAGTCCTGTCTCTTCCCAGGCTACTGGGGGTGGAGGAGTTAATTCTGTCTGTGGCTCTTCCTGGACTCCTCCTGAGGTATATTTAGCAGGCAGGGCAGGGCGTGTAGTGGAGCAGTGCCAGGATGCCCAAGTTATCACGCCCCTCCTAGGATGGTGGGAGCTTGGGTGCTCCAAGAACTGGGTGGGGTGATGGAGGGAGGCATGGAGATGGAGCAAGGGGCAGGAGGTACAGAAGTTGGCTTTAAGTGAAGGCTGTATTCATTTGGGGGCCTAGGGGCTCTGCCGTCTTTATCCATAGAAGGACTGAGGACTCAGTCTTACAGGGACATGGAAGGACTGTACAAAAGTGGGTGGGGAACAGAGAGTGCCATGGTGCCTGTGACTGGCTGCAGGGCCCCTGCCACCCACCTAGGAGGTTGGGACCTTGGGCCAGGCAATGGTGCAGTTTAGAAACTGTGGGCTGGAAGAGTCCATGCTGCTCAGATGCCCTCCCTCTCAGAGCTGCACTTCCACCTTGGGACACAGGCTGGTTCTAGGATGGCCAGTGAGGTCAGGGCAGAATGTTTTCTACATCCCTGTTCAGAGTACTCCAAGAACCCTGCCCTGGGTGATGTAACTGCCAGGTAGGCCTGATCCTGGAGACCTGTGAACCACCCTTATGGAGTTCCTCCAGGTCTCACGGACCTCTGGGTGTTAGTTTATAAGGAGAGAGCTTTGTTTATCAGAGATGTCGGCACCCTTCCCCAGGACCCAAGGATAATTCTGCACATCTTGGCCTCTCAGTCCCTCAGATTGTTCCCAGTGACAAAGGGCATGGCCCTTTGGCTGTCCTCCCACGGAGGACAGCCAGAAGAATGGAGAAGAGCAGTCAGATCCAAGGCAGCCTCCTGCTTGACCCAGAACTCCTTTACCTGACCAAATGACTGAGGTCATGAGGTAGCTGCACCTCTGGGTGGAGACTCCTCCAACCAACAGAGATAGACACAATTTGCCAGAGTGAGCAGCAGCCCTTCTGGAAATGATCCAGGGATTGCCTGCCACCAAGCCATGCCAGTCATCCTGGGTTTAGTCTATTTTGACTCCCTAACCACGGAGAGAGTCCAAAAAAAGACATTTTACTAAACCTTTCAGTGTCATGAACCCTTGGGGAGGCTACAAACCCCAACCTCTACTCCAGAATGTTGTCTGCCAGTAGCTACAAACCATGGGGACACTTAAGCAGGCCAGCATTATTTCTGGGGGAAAGAACCTTATAAGTACGGCAAAGAATGCACATAAGTTGTTCTGTGATTGAGTGAAAAGTACACATGGTGTGTGGAATGCCACAGGGTTCCAGTGCACCAAGTAACCGTAAAGGTTTCCCTCCCCTCCCCTGCATCCCTCCCCCCACAACTTGCATGACAGGGTCTTGCTATATTGACCAGGCTGGCCTCGAACTCTTGGGTTCAAGCCACCCTTCTGCCATAGCCTCCCAAGTAGCTGGGACCATAGACAAGAAAGTCATTTCTAATCTCTGGGTCTCCTTACCTTGTTTGTAAAATGTGGAGCTGGATGAGGTAAGACTTAAAGCCATTTCCATACTACACTTCTCTGTCGGGGAACAGGTACCTGAGCCTCATTCCAAGCTCACAGATGAGAGGAACCTTGCAGAATAGTCACAGCAGCATGGCTAAGAATTTCCAAGTGCCAGGCACCAGCTCATAATATTCTCACAATAACCCCGTAAGGCAGGGATTCTTGTTGAGTCCATTTTATGGATAGATATACTGAGAGTCACAGTTTGCCCAAAGAACACAACTAGTTAGTGGGGCAGGCAGGACTTGAACCCAGGTCTGTTTATCTCTGGATTCTAACTAACCATTGTATGCCACGTGTAGGTGATACTACAGTCAGCAGAGCCAGAATCTAGGAGGGAAGCAAAAAGGGAAGTAAGAGGCAAAGTCAACTCACAGACTTATTAATTCCAATCCTTGAGGTTAGATTAAAAATGGTGTGTCTGGAGCCTAGTGGGTGGGACAGGGGGTTGTTAATGGTGGAAAATAAAATTGGAGCTGGGCCCGGCGGCTCACGCCTATAATCCTAGCTTCTCAGGAG